GGAGCTCGGGGCATGCCCATGTCTACACTGTAGGGGCACAGGGACAGTGCTGTCCTGCTAACTCCATAGCATAGGCGCTTCCTACAGCAGTGGAAGGGATGTAGTTTATGTACCTCTCCCACAGGCAGTAGCTAGGACCAAGGAAGACTTCTCCCCTTGACCTGGCCACATCTGTATTGGGCCTAACTACAGCACAGCCCGTGACGTTTTTCACAGCCCTGAGCGATGCCGCTAGGTCGAGCTAATTTTTAGGCGTGGATGAGGCCCCCGGCAGTAGAGGCTGGTACCTCTGGCCCCAAAGATCCCTCGTTTGATCCCCATTGCCTGTCACATTAGCACGTCTTCCACCCAGATGTTTTGTCTTCAGGACCCCCATGCTGTGCCCATGGGTCTCCTGGCCCTTTTTGCCATGTGCCACAATCATATGTCCCTCCAGGCAAGAAGTTCAAACTCACAGAGCATCCTTTGTAACAGCTGTTCAACCCAGCCCTGGTCGCCCCTCTTTTCTGTCTTCAGGGCTGGATTTCCACCCCCCAGACCAGCCGTGAGTCCCAGATGGAGCCAGAGGTAGAGCCGTGCACGCTGGATCCCCAGTGCTCCAGTGAGAGCTGCGTCCCTACAGACACTTCTGCAGGTGAGAGACACTTCTTAACTAACCCTGGCTCCCCAAGATGCCCTGAGCCCGTCCAGTCCTGCCTCATCTCGTCCAGTTCGGCACTGGAACCAACAGCTGCCACATCAATGTGACAGGGGTCAGTTGTGACTCCAGCTGGATAAGTAATCTGAGACATTCGGGATGGATTTGTTTTGTCAGACACACTTCTGTTTATAAATGGCAGGTAAAGTGTTAATCCACGAGGCACAGATGTTCACAGCGTGGAACAGGCGTGTGTAGTGGATGGTTATAAGCACTACAAGGTGTGTAGATGGTTTTGTTTGGTGTTTGTATAGGGCTAGGACAATGAGGTCTTTGTCCACCACGTGGGCTCCTAAATGCTACAGTAATATAAATAAATCGCACTAATAGTAATAATAATTATACACCATGGGTTTAAGTAGCTTATTGAGCTGGTGGACACTCTATCCAGTCAGTCACCATTCTTCAAGACATCTAAGAATCATTTATAAATGGAGCCTTATTATACATTTGTTCTGCCTTGTGAATTCTCAGATTTGTCAAACTAAATGTTTCTCACATTTCTCCAGTTAAATAGACACATGTCGTTCAGCCAGGAGTTACTGGGTGGAGGAGGGAATTGCTGGGGAGATTCTCTGGCCTGCGTTAGGAAGGAGAACATAAGAATGGCCATACTGGGTCAGACCAATGGTCTATGTTGCCCAGTGTCCTGTCTTCCGACAGTGGCAGGTGCCAAATGCTTCAGAGGGAATGAACAGAACAGGGCAACTTACTGAGTGATCCATCCCCTGTCGTCCAGTCCCAGCTTCTGTCAGTCAGAGGTTTGGGGGCACCCAGAGCATGGGGTTGCATCTCTAACCATCTTGGCTAATAGCCATTGGAGGGTGGACTGGGTGGTTATGATGGGCCCTGCTGGCCTTAAATTAATTATTGGTTGGCAGATATTGCTAACAGTGATTGCTATAGAAGTGTACACAACTCACAAACTGGGCTACATTGGCGAGTTAAAGGGGGTTCCAAAGAGGATGGATCTAGACTGTTCTCAGTGGTAGCAGATGACAGAACAAGGAGTAA